TGCAAACTGGGAAAAGTGGCTGGCTATGAAAGAACAATGTTTCCAACAATGTTTCTCAAAATGATACCTCAAAGTTTTCCCTCAAAGTGCTCAAAAATTTGTGCGCCCTCAATCTGCACCCCTCAAACTGAGACTCTCAAAGTGTGACCTTCAAAGTGCCCCCTACAAAGTGCAACCCTGAAAGTGCAAATCTCCAAGTGTTCTCAAAGTATATACCTCTCACAGTGACCCCCACACCAAACCAGCAGACCTTCCACAGCAAACAGTGGTCCAAATCCTTGTCATTGTCCTGCAAATCCTTGAGGCTGCCCTTGAAGGTGTCAAGTAAGTCCTGATCCTTTGCTGCCAACACCTGTTCCTTCAACTTCATGCCATCCCTGATCAACTTTTCCTGAGCAGCCTTTGCTGACTGCAACACCTTCTCAACATGGTTCCAGTCAACTTCTTGAGTCTTTGGCTTTGTTAAAACTAGAACTGTGTCTCCTGCTGCTTCTGCTGAGTCCTCCACTTGCTGCTGCAGTGAGCCAACATTCAAGCTCTTGAACCAGTCAGAAATGACTTGGTGAGAGCTTTCATCCAAGCTGTGCTGGCCATCATTCAATTCACTTTCATCACCCAAACTTTTCATCCTGCCTGACTTCAAAGTGTTGTAGCTATAATAGTCCTTTCCCTGGTAGCTGGTCACAACAACATCCCCACACTGTAAAGCTTTCTCTAGTGCACTTTCGTTGCCACCAAACTTGTCATAGAGCATGATGGACCAGGGGAAACCTGAACCAAGCCATCAGTCACAACAAGGTGAAGGCTTTCAGCATTGATTTGGATGGCTATGGTGTTTGACAAAATGACACATGAACCAGAACTAAATCTTAACCATGAACCCCTACTTAAAAAAATGAAGATGGACATTTTTCATGAAATCTAGAAATACAAAACCAGGCAGGCCCAGGTGTATGATGTGTTTTTTTGGGAGAATATACTGTTTCCAAAGTGATGCTCAAAGTGGGCTCCAACATGATTGCCTGCAAGTGGCACATGTCCCTTCACCATCACTATTTGCTTCCCCAAAAAGGTACCACATGTGTATGTGCCTTTGATTTTTCCATACATATACATTTGTATGTGTGTACTGTGTGTACCTTGTAAGTTGTAAACTTGCATCCCAGTAACTTTGTGCCTCTTCCTTTCCATACTTCACATCCAACAGCTTTTGAACCCTTTTGAAGGCAGGGTCTTTGGGAACCATCACAAAGTTGTTGCCCTCTTTTCTGAAAAGGCTGTTGATGAGCTGAGTTTTGTTGGCTCTTGGGTTTTGGCTTTTTTCAGCTGCATCAAAGGCCTCCTTCACTTCTGCAGGCAAAGCACCTGCTTTCTCAAGCTTTCTAAACTTTTGTGCCTTCTGCCTGTCTCTCTCTTCAGCCTTTGCCTCTGTGGTATTGTCCTTCTCTTCATCTTCTGGCTTGTCTAAATTGTCAACCCATTTCATTGCTTGGTCCTTCAAAGTTTCCTTTCCTTTCTTTTTTGGGGGTTCCTTCTTCTGCTCCTGCTCTGACTGCTCATCTGTATGCTTTGGCTTGTTGCTGCCAGCTGCTTTGGGTGCTGCCTTTGGTGTTGACTTTGCCTTTGCTTGTGACTTTGGTACCTTTTTAACCTTGGTAGTAGGCTTTGCCTTGGCAGCTGCCTTGGCCTTACCACTGGCTGCTGGCCTCTTGAGTCCTGTGGCCTTTTCTGCTGCGCTGCGACTTTTAGCATGTGACTTGGGTGTGGCTGCCTTTGGTGTAGTGGCTTTCTTTGGTGTAGCTTTCTTTGTGGCTTCCTTCCTTGACTCATTTTCTTTCTTCTCAGGTGTCTTTGGTGCATTTTGCTCACCCAATGCAGCAGCTTGTTCAGCCACTGTTGTTTCTCCATTTGGAGGTTCTGCCATGGCGGGTCTTTTCATCAACAAGGTGTGAAACTAAATCTTCACACAGAAGATTCTGGTGTGATGTCCCCAAAACAAAACCCAACACACAATAGATTACACTTTGATAAATATTATGTTTTGGGCAAACCATGTGGGCATCACACTTGAATGAAAAAGTAACACTGTTCTTGGGCAATGCAACAAATGATTTGTGTCAAACCATTGTGTTGGAGCATTTTCAAACCAATTGTCCCTCTGTGAAGAAGGAAATGCAAACACTTTGCATTTTATTTGTGAAAAAAAACATGAATTCTGAATAGGAAAATCATCATTTGTACAAGAAAATATGTGAAAATATCAACCAAAAACAAGTGGCTGGGTAGAAGTTTGGTAGTAGTTTGGTAGAAGTTTCTAGTAAACTTCTACCCCAACATAGAAACTTCTATCAAACTTCTACACTAGTAGAAGTTTGGTAGAAGTTTCAATGAAACTTCTAGTGTGCGTATAGAAGTTTGATAGAAACTTCTACCAAACTACTATCAAACTTCTACACCTGAAGTTTTGAAATTTTGATTTTTCTATGATTTTCTTTGCGATTTTGTTCACATATGAACAAACACATGAAACTTTTCTCTCAAAGTGAGTGCATCTCTTTCTCTCAAAGTGTGCTTTGCCAGTATGAAAGTGCCCATGAATTGCCCACCAACTACCCACCAAGTGCACTCAAAGTGTTGCCTCTCAATGTGGTCTCTCAATGTGTTACTTTCAAAATATAGAAGGTGACCCAAAGTTGAAACCACTCAGTAGGTGATTTTCAGCAGGCTAGTTGAAAGATGTTCCATCGCCAGAAGTTTGCTACCTTGGCTGACAAGGCCAACAACTTGTATGAGGTGTGACACTGTCACTTGTAATTTCCAGGTTCTGTCAAGTTACAAGATCCCAAGGTCATAAGTCATCAGCTGGAGCTGGTGGATGGGCTAGATGGATTATCCCATCCCCTGAGTGCCAGGTGAAGGATGACAGGCATAAAATGATATTTAGGGACCAATAGCTTCATACATTCTTGGTGTGTAAAAGCGTAATTTGCCCAGTGGCCCTGGCATGTGCATTTGGGTGATCTTTTCCTGGCACAAGGTGAAGCAACAAATAGAAAGATAAACAGTGGTGTCAAAAGAATTGCTCCAAAAAAAGTTGCCTTGCAAAAGCACAGTCCTTCAAGGCTTCCTTGTCAGCTTGAGTCACCCAGTGCCAGCTCTGTGCAACTTCATCAAAAGTTTTCCACTCTTGCCAACCAGAGGCATAGGTGGTCAAATGCCACAAGGCACCATCTCTCCAAGTCCACTTAGTACCAACAAAGCTTGGGCCATTGCCACCTAACCTGTCTAGAAACCTTTGCATGCTGCACCTGTAGCACCTTGAACCTGCAATGGTTGCAAGCCATCCCAAGTCAAGTAAGCTAATGACCCTAGCTAGTGTAAATCCAAAGTGCCACTCTCCAAGTGCTAGTCTCTCAAAGTGTTACACCCTCAAAGTGCTTCTCAAGTATGATGCTGCTTAGATATTCAGACTGTCTCCCAACAAATGTTGGTGATGAAGTGCACTCAAAAGAGATGCCACCTTTTTTTGCTGGCAGCCTAGGTCAAGAAGCAAGTTCACCTTCTAGTTTCTAACCCTCTTTGAGAGTTCCAAGTTCAATCTGTTGCACAACCTTGGCACTTGCAGCTTTGCCTTTGATCCTTGCACTCTCTGGGCTAATGCCAGCCCTCAAAGCCATATTCTTGGCTAGGTGGTATGCATTGCTGGTCTTTCTGTGGCGAAATGTAGTTTTATATCCACCAGAAGGGCTTCCTCTGGAAGATTTCTTTCTCTTTGCTTTTGCTTTGGATTTGCATTTGGGGGCTGGCTGTGCTGGGGCCTTTGCTGCCTTTTTGGACTTTGACTTGGCAGGTCGCTTTTTCTTGGGTGTTACTTGTGTTTCATCAGGTGCCTTCATCTCCTTAGGCTCATTGACATCAGAGGTTGCTTTGTGGCTCTTGCATTCTAATGCCAGTGCTAGTGTTTGCAAATCCTGACTGTCCAAGTCAAAATTGCTCTTTGCCAGCTGTCTCCTCAAGGTAGGCCTACTGGTGTCGTTTTTTTCATCCAAAGTGAGGTTGCTTTTAGCAAAGCTTCTTTTATAGGAAGGTTTGCTGCCTTCATGTAGTACCAGGTCTGTGCAACTTGTAGTCTCTTTTGCTTTTTCTGGGCTGTGAAACTGTTGGAAAAAGTTGCTTGAAACACCAAAGAGATCCTTACCAGGGCTTCCACAAGCTCCAGTGGAGCTGCTGCTTGGCTCTTGACCTGCCTTTGCCATGGGAGGGTGTGGTGTTTGGGAATCAGGTCGGGTCTCATCACTTTCAAGCTTTCCATCCTTAGATGGCAGTGAAATACATCATTGGGTACAATCACATCATGACATGTATTTATACCAAAAAATGCAAAGACATTGCTATCATAAAGAAAAAGTTTATGAACTTCAGCAATGAACAAGGATCCACAGAAACCAGCTCCAAAATTTCTTCAATGGCTTTCTTTTCTTCTTGGCTACATTTCTTGGCAACTCTAATGAAGTCTGCCTGGTTGATCTTCAGTGTTCTGATCTGTGCAGCTCCTATACGAATGTATTGGTCCAACTGGTCAAAAAATTGTTCATCCTTCATCTTTGAATAGTTCAGTCTTTGCTGAGTGGTCCTTTGAACTGGTGGGCAAGGGGGAAGCAAACACAACAAGGAAATCCAGTGAAAAAAATAGAAACTTGGGTTGGAACAAGAAAAATGTTCTGTTAAATGATACTTCTTGGGGCTGAATCTTCACCATGGCTGTCTTCAACTTCTTTGATGCAACCACAAGGTTCTTCACAACTGAGACCAATTTGATGAGAAAAGGTGATATTTTGTGCAACCACTCTGGATCAGGTGCTGTTTTCCAGGTAACCTTTTTTGATGGCTCTGGTGCCAACAAACTCCAAAGGTCATGACTGCCCTTCTCTTTGCAAAATTGGTTGATAACCTGCTGCAAGTCCAGCACACAGACTGATGGATCTGGCACCAGTCTACCCATGGCACTGAAACACAGCAGTGTTTCTCAACATTTTTTGGTGTCTACCCTAGGAGCCACAACCCTGTAAGGAATATGGCTTGCAAAAAGAAAAATTGATACCCTTTATAATGCAGTGGATTCATCAATATTGTATGCAGTGTGTCAATCAAAGTGCACGGATTCGGTCTCTCAAAATCACGGGTGTTCCTATCAAAATGCACTTGTCTCTCAAAGTGTAGGTTTCTCCAAGTGCTGGGCCTCTCCAAGTGTTGGGTCTCTCCAAGTGCTTACCCTTTCCAAGTGTTGGGTCTCTCAAAGTGCTTGGTCCCTCAAAATGTGGGTCTCTCCTCACAGTGTTTGCAAGTTTGCACCACCCAACAGTGATTAAACATTATCTCAAAGTGACTCTCACTCTCATAGTGTCTCTCACATTCCACCATGTCAAAATCAAACTTCAACTATTGTCTCTAAACCTGGCTCTCACCCTCACAGTGTTTGCAAGTTTGTACCACCCAACAGTGATTAAACATTATCTCAAAGTGACTCTCACTCTCATAGTGTCTCTAACATTCCACCATGTCAAAATCAAACTTCAACTACTGTCTCTAAACTGGGCTCTCACCCTCACAGTGTTTGCAAGCTTGCACCACCAAAAAGTGATTGAACATTATCTCTAAGTGACTCTCACTCTCATAGTGTTCGTAACATTCCATTTCCCAAAAATAATAAAAATAAACTTAGGAATCAATCAAAATATCAAAAAAGTAATTCAAAAATATTCAAAAAATGACCAAAAATAGTTAAAAAAATAGTTAAAAAATAGTTAAAAAATAGTTAACTTTTTTAAAGTATTTTTTTAACTTTTTTTAAAAACTATTTAGTTAACTTTATTTTAACTATTTGCTATCTATTTTTTTTACCTTTTTACAACCAAGTTAACTAAGTAGTTAACTTTTTTGGGAGTTAACTATTTTCTTCTTAATTGTCTAACCTCTTCTATAGGGTAGATCATCGACGTTCGGGGACGGACTTTGTATGGAAAAACATAGGGTTTCGTGCATCTGCTATCTCTCAAAAACGCATTTCGTGCGAGACTTCCTCCAAAACTCCATCGGCCACTCCTCCACCAGCACCACTTGCAATCCCATTTACAGTGAGGGAACAATTTCTTTGCTAACTCTTTCTGTGACTAACTCTTTTCCTCACTAACTCTTTCTTTGGCTAACTTGTTTCTTTGCTAACTCTTTCTTTGACTACCTCATATATCCTGACTAACTCTTTCTTTGACTAACTCTTTCCCTCACTAACTCTTTCTTTGACTACTCTTTCCCTCACTAACTCTTTCTTTGACTAACTCTTTCCCTCACTAACTCTTTCTTTGACTAACTCTTTCCCTCACTAACTCTTTCTTTGACTAACTCTTTCCCTCACTAACTCTTTCTTGACTAACTCTTTCCCTCACTAACTCTTTCTTTGACTAACTCTTTTCCCTCACTAACTCTTTCTTTGACTAACTCTTTCCCTCACTAACTCTTTCTTTGACTAACTCTTTCCCTCTACTAACTCTTTCTTTGACTAACTCTTTCCCTGACTAACTGTTTCTTAACTCTTTCTTTGACTAACTCTTTCCCTGACTAACTCTTTCCCTGACTAACTCTTTCCCTTGACTAACTCTTTCTTTGACTAACTCTTCTTTGACTAACTCTTTCTTTGACTAACTCTTTCCCTCACTAACTCTTTCTTTGACTAACTCTTTCCCTGACGAACTCTTTCTTTGCTAACTCTTTCTTTGACTAACTCTTTCTTTGACTAACTCTTTCCCTCACTAACTCTTTCTTTGACTAACTTTTTCTTTGACTAACTCTTTCTTTGACTAACTCTTTCCCTCACTAACTCTTTCTTTGACTAACTCTTTCCCTGACTAACTCTTTCTTTGCTAACTCTTTCTTTGACTAACTCTTTCTTTGACTAACTCTTTCTTTGACTAACTCTTTCTTTGACTAACTCTTTCCCTGACTAACTCTTTCTTTGACTAACTCTTTCCCTGACATTCTAAAAGTCCGTAACACGGAAGTTTCTCCCCCTAAACTTCCTTTGATGAAGATGTGATATAAAAACAGTTAAACATATGGAAATCCCGAGTATATTGGATATGAGGAGGTGATCTACGAGGATTTTACCGATGCATTGATGCGACCACGCCAAGTGTGATGGTACTGGAATTGGAAATGCCTAGAAGGGCCAAGAATCAGATTTAGGAATTTTAGGATTATTTAGGATGTCTTGACTGGTTAATATATTGATTTTTTGGTCTGCATCCTCTTTTTGCTCACTATCCGCATGTAAGGCTGAAAAAGCAAAACCACAATCCATATCTATTCTAAAAAACCCTGAGGTCAAGTAATGAAAGTGATGGTCAAACATGATCATCAGTTTATGCTTAATATGAAGAATTCCCCAATTTCCCTAAATAGTCCAAGAAAATGTGATTTTATCCAATGATCCGCTCCAAGACTCGTGGTTCTTCCATGTTATTCCTCTGAAAGCACCATATTTTCAGCTTCTGAAGATGATCCTTCGTGCTGACACGGCACAACTATTGGACACACGGAATTTAGGGGATGTCAATAGGAAACAAATAGAAACAACATATGATGAAACATCGATGATGATGATGGTGATGATGATGATGATTGATGATGATGGTGATGATGTTGATGATGATGATTGATGATGATGATGATGATGATGATGATGATGATTGATGATGATGATGATGATGTTGATGATGATGATTGGTGATGATGATGATGATCATGATGATGATGATGATTGATGATGATGGTGATGTTGATGATGATGATTGATGATGATGATGATGATTGATGATGATGATGATGGTGATGATGATGATGATGGTGATGATGATGATGATGATTGATGATGATGATGATTGATGATGATGGTGATTATGATGTTGATGGTGATGTTGATGATGATGATTGATGATGTTGATGATGATGATGTTGGTGATGATGATGATGATGATGATGATGATGATTGATGATGATGGTGATGATGTTGATGATGATGATTGATGATGACGATGATGATGATGATTATGATGATGATTGGTGATGATGGTCATGATGATGTTGATGGTGATGATGGAAATACATTATAAGACCTTGAAAAGCGAACATATTGACGAAACCGCCTGGCCAGGGAACTTCGCAACGCCGGCGAAGGGGAGCACTGGCCGCGGCAGCGACGTCTGTGGAGGACAAACGTGTTGTGTGACTCGGGGAGTGGCAAGAGGGCAGGGGGGAAATGACAAACAAACATGCAGGATGGGGCCCCCCAGTTATAAGTTGGTTTATAAACCATTATAACCCCCATTAACTATAGTTATATCTACCATAAATCATTGTTAAACCACTTATAATAAACCAACTTAGCTATCTTGGGGGCCCCACCCTGTGGTGAAACAAGGCTTCTTTTCACCATCAAAATAGTGACAAATGCTGATTGAACGATATTGAACCACGACAATTTGTGATTTCATCAAACTTGTGATCTAAGCAGAGTTAATTTGATCCTGATCAATTGTAATTTATCACTTTATCTACAAAACATTCTGACTCAAATGCATTTAACCGTTGCATATATATATATATATACATGTGCAGATTTCATCATGAAAAAATCAGGTTGTACTGCATCCATGCGAAATGCGATATGTGGCATTGATCCCCTTTTTTCAGACCGAGGGAACTACAGTTTGCCAATATTTGGTCACCTTTGGTGTAGCATTCCCGGCTGGTGGTTTCAAACATGAATTTTATTTTCCATTTCATATCTGGGATGTCATCCTTCCCATTCACGAACTTCATCATTTTTCAAGATGGTTATTGCACCACCAACCAGTGTAGCATTAGCTTTTCCCGGGCAAAAATGAGGTCGGCTACCCTATCCTACAGGAGGTGTTTGCCGTGTTGAAAGATGAGTTGTCGAACTGCACGCCTTTGGCGGACGAGTTTCTTGGCTGGGAGCTGGTGTCAAACAGGTCCAGATGGGTAGACCAAACATGGAGGTTTCATCTGGAAAAAAAATGTGGGATCAATGGATGTTCATTGGCGAAACCATGGGAAAGATGGATTGAGGCAAGAATTATGGGATACAAGGGGGTATTTTAGTGGGGATATGGGAAGAAGCCTTTGATCGGCAAGTTATCTTACGGGAAAAGATATGATTGTCGTGCATGGGGATATGTGTAGTTATATAAATATTTAGATTATGTATATCTGGCCTGGCAAACAATCAACATATTTCTACTGCTAGATTTGCAGTGTATCTACAATGAGATGCAGGGATTGGAGGAATTTGAAGCAACGAAGATCAACGAAGCGGCCATGGAGCGTTCACCCATGCAGCAGGGCGGCATGCCATTGGCTTAGGTGATCCTTAGATATGGATCAGAAGTCTAGAGGGTTATACACCTGGTGATACCTCGGGATCCAGAAGTATGTGTAAGAATGGTGAACCCACTTAGCACTGTCAGAACACCAAGTAGTGAGACACAAGAATAGGTGAGATATGTGGATGTTCATTCCCGCCAAGATAGGCAATAAGCGACACCACTAGGCTGACTTCAGCCATCGCTGAAGCGTTTCAGGCATCCCTGGAATCGTTTTTTGCGGGGGAAGGATCTCAAGTTCGTTCGGGGATTTCCCTGGCCATCACCGGTATTTCAGGCCATAACTGGATAACCCAGTGAATTGATGTTTTTCATGTCGCAAAACAAATCCAGTTCGACATGGCTTTGAACGACCACTTGCTAGGTGGGACTGGGACCCCTAATGACCTCCAAATTGGCTACAAGTGCACTACAAATTATTGATGTTTCATGGGATGTTTTTGTTACTAAGGCTTGATCATGCTTGATCCATAGGAGATGTGTTGAATATTGTTGAAGTCTTTGGACAATGTTTTATTTCTTCTTTTAATAACATATTTATATGCAGGAGACAATTTAAGATGCCTAACATAGAATGCAACGTAATGTAACGATGCACTTCCGCAAGCAACACGGCTCTACTTAGGTCAACATGTACCCTCTACATCTACGGCGATTACCCCGAAACGCATTCATGGACCGTTCGAACAGATGTTGATGTGGTGGGCCAACCTTGGTTCACCACGGCACCTCAGTATATCCCTCGTGGTTTGGTACAACTTGATCCAACGTGAAATGGAGAGAGATGCGTCTTGCAGCGATTTTTGGGAGCGAAGATTGGTGGATGATTTGTTTCGATGTATACAAAGACTTAATCTTATCATATGATCAAAGACAATGCTCCGTGTCATTTAGCCAACCTGTGCGAATATGAATATGGCATCTTAAGTTGACGAGCAGGCTTTTAGGCGTCCCATGGAAATGCCAGATGGGTGAGAACAATTCAAATATTCAAAGCCTATGGTGCAATATTTAAGTGGATAAACATATAGCCCTTCATAGCTATACCAACAATTTCGATGTGACAACAACGGCACCATGATGTGATTTTCATCCATAGAAGGTGGTGTAAGCCGGTTAGTTATAAGTTGGATTATACCACCCTCTTAACTATAGATCCAGCATAGACCACAGTTACCCTCTGGTAATTTGTTTTACAACCATTGAAAATTGCCATTTGATTCGTTGATTTTCCTATTGTGGACCTGGTGATTTTCCACTGCTATGTCAGTTTACCAGAGGGTTACCAGGGATTGCAATTCCACTAAGAGCTTGTTATATCAATGGGAATTTCAGGATCCTAAATTGGAGGTACCTATCATATATAAGGCCTATATAAGGCCTATGTAAGGGAATATTCCCCTTATATGGTACTAACGTACCTCCATTTTAGGATCCTGAAGAGCTTGGGGCGCCCCCAACTTCCAGTGGTAAGAATCCCGTGGCCACTAAGAATGCCTTGCCTACAGCCCCAAGAAAAAGTAATTTATCAATTGATCACTAATAACCCCAACTAAGATGATCTTATACATTTATAAATGATACACAATCTATAGTGAACCAACTAACCCAACAGTGATAGGTTCAGCCAGCAATTTCCCATCATTTCCCACCAGTCTTTGGTGGGTGAATGGTGGATAAATGGTGATTTTGATGGGGAAACTCGCCATTATATAGTGTATATTTGTACACATGTAACCAACCATGTTTTTATTATAGAATATACATATATATATATATATGTGATTATGATATGATACGATATTTTGGATTTTGGTGTGTCTGAAAATTGGCCATACTCCCCAACATTGACACTTTAACCAGGAAAATGATGACACCATGAATCCAACGGTTGTGGAGGCCCCGCCCTGAGGATAGATTCCTTTTCGCTGAAACACTGCTTTAAACATCGTGGGTAAAGCTTGGTTGCAGATTTACTGATCATAGTTAAGCAGGAAATATGTATGCCATTTATTTTATTTAATCGGTTTTGATCTATTTTGATATAGACTATAGATGTGTATATACACATATATATATATATGTATATGTATGGATGGGGGGTGCTCTCCATCTTTTTGCAATTCTTTGCAGGGAATCTCCGATGATCCATGACTAAATCAGGCTGGCGGTTTGCATCACATCTGTTGAACAAATCATTTATAGTATTTGCGATGATGTCATGCAGGGTTGTGCCCCTGTTTGTTAGCTAAGTTGGTTTAGACCTATGCAAACACATGGGTTTACAGTGATGATAACTGTAGTCAATGGGATACAACGGATGTATTCACGGTGATGACAACCGTAGTCACGGGGTGTATAAGTCAACGAAGATGACTGGGGGGCACCACCTTGTACAATATTCCTTGGGATTCCGACGTCATCAATCAGCAATGATTCAAGAGTCCAAGGAAGAGATCTTGCAAAGATCCTTGTACAGAGATCCTTGTACAGGAGATCTTGTGAGTCAACAACTTTGCATTGCGGCCGCTTCTGACCCAACAGGACGTTTAGAGGTGTTAGGTGCAAGTGGTATGGGATCACTCCTTCGCTACCGCGCGTTGCGACGCGGCTTCCGTAGTGGCGCTGAGGAGCCCCATGGCAGGGCCGCAATTCGCGGCGCAAACAAATTTAATAAGATTTAGGACAAAGATTCATCCACTCAAAGCTCTTCCAGGCACCATAGATATTTGTTGAAAAAAACACATTCTGGATTCAGACTTTGACCATTTCACCCTGTCAATTCTCATTCACTTCTCTAGCTTGAGCAATGATATTTCTGTGGTGGGCGCCTTTTTTGGCTCAGATTAGTTGTGAAACAAAAATCGTCCCATCCGCTGCGCGCTGGACAAGAAAGCGCGCGCCCTGTTCCGAAGAACGATGCCGGAAGATGCCTCGTGGTCGGAAGTCACTCAGAAGCAGGACTTGGCCCACAGGGGGGTACTCTCCATAGTGCTCTGAACATGACCATTTTGAACATCACCATTTTCAATTCTATAAGCGGACCATTTTTCATTAATTACCCCACCCAATGTCATACCAATGAGTTCGTGAGATGGAGCCACTAGAAAACCTGCAGGAACAGAACCTGTCGTGCCCGAAAACCACCCAGTTACATTCACTCATTGGAACTCTATGACATACATTTTCCAATCTAATTGCTAATTTTTTGCATTTGATTTCCCATCTTCGCAGAAAGTAAGAAAGACACGACATCTACACGTCACTTTCCCATGAAAAAAATGGTTTTCCGCCATTCCCATCTTTGAAGCGCAGCAGGACCATGACGAAGAGGAGTTGAAACACAATGATCAACTCCTGACGGCCATTGAGGCGTTAAGTGATGGGTGAATGGGGTTGGTGGGCTAACCTCGATACATAGCAACTAAAGGGTATCTATGGGGTTAGTAAGTGGGATAATCCACTTCAGGGTTCCTACTAGCCAGGGTTGCTAACCAGTTACGATCTGTGGGATCATCGTCCAAGTACATGGCTAACCTGGTTTTTTCTATATCGTGTTTTTTTTGGTGGTGTCATTTATGATAATGCAATGTACTTGTTGTGTTATGAGTGTTTCTGTTGGCCGTTTTGGGAGTTAGGGATCAACGGAATTTTGAAGTGTTGTTTGTTGCCGAGAGTGACGTTGTTTCTTCCGGCCGGGTGAAGGATAAATTCTACAATTGTGCTTGGTGCGAGTTTAAATCCGCAGATACAATGGTTGGTTTCAAACTTTGTCGCATCATCACTCACGTGTAGTTTAAAATGTCATATCGATTCTTTTGTTCTAATCTACTTACAAATATATTTATAAATTGTTCAATAAATATATATATATATAAGTAGGAATAACAAGGTTCAAACAACACATATATTGATAAAATTAATATAGCATGAATAGCACTAATGAAAACTAGTAAAAATATAATAAAACACAAATAATTATATATATATTCACGTTTATCTGCAAATTTATATTCATATTCATATATTTATTGTCTATATTTACACGTGTTTGTTACGTTCAAACTTCCCAGGCAGACCTCAATGCCATCGAAAGCGGCATGGAGAAGGCTCAGGCGGCCTGTTGTTTCCCGGTGGATCCCGGTTCCGAGAAAAATATGAACTTGGACCCAGAAATCCGAGAATCGAAAACGGAATTCACCAGCTAAATAAGCGCCGGTTTACCCCGAGTTCGATTTAGTATTTCACATTATTTCACCCAAAATTGTGCACAATATAATGTGATATAATATGATATACTTTGCATAAACTTTGCATAAACTTTGCATAAATGTAAATTTCATGAGTTGATGATTCACCAGATTTTCCCTGGATTTTCCCATTGAATCCACCCGAACTGAGGGAAAAAACACGGAAATTTTGACCTTGACTCGAATGACCGGATGGAGCAAGGCAGTTCGCTATTGAAAAAAAACAACTAGTTAAAGCATGGAACAGAAAAGGGTCATCTATACCATACAATGTGAGGCCCCCAAGATAGCTAAGTTGGTGCAAATAAC